AACAACCCAATCGAGAATCGTGTAATGCCATGTTACTTTACGGACACAGACGAGAAGAATTTGTAGGCAGTGTCGAGGAGGCCCTGGAGAAACATATGGACACCTTTGGACAATGGGAATTTGAAGGCAACGTTGACATGATAAATGCAGGAATCATGCAGATACTCAACAACGTTGCGACCAAGATGCTCACAGAGGCGCCAGGATACACAGAGGACAAGGGCAGCACATTCAACATGAGCGAGCAGGTCGGCAAACTACTCGAGGAGAGACGACGAGCCAAAGAGGAGGAAGTCTCGAATGAAGATCTAAGCATTGAGATAGCACGCATCAGCAGAACACTCAAGAAGCGCAAGCAAGAACTAGCTGAAGCACGACTTCAAGACAGAGTCGAGGCACTGTGGGAAGCTTGGCGAGATAGGAAGTTCTATGATGCACACAGGATAGCCAGACTCATCGCAGGACAGTGCAGAGGACCTCGAGGGCGACACTACAGCAGGGTACCCACATCACGAGCATCAGCCATAGAATGGATCAGCCAGTTCCAGAAGGCAGGCACGAGTGGAGGCGCCAATGCTAGAGTACTTCATAGAAAGGAGGCGCCAACCATCACCACAGGATTCTGGAGACAGCCATTTGATGATGGACAGCAAGCTGAAAGGATGCACTTTTTCCCATCGCACTTGGAATGGATCAATGAACCAGAAGACGAGATTGACTATCAAGCGGCACACCAAGATGCTCTCCTTGATGCAGAGAAACTACGCAAGGCGGTACGCAAACTCCCCTCTTGGAGAGCAACACCCTCATGGAGCATCTCGAGTGATCTTCTGAGAGTCATGATGGACCCCAACTGGTACTACAAGAAAGCAAAACGACGGGGACTTCGAAGCGCAGAGGATGATGCAGAAAAACTGGGTCAGGAACGGGGGTTCTCCGTCCCGTCGGGCGGCGTCGGCGCCAACCCTGATCGTCGCGAGACAATCCAGGAGATTGGCCGTAGGGGCCCTGCTGGAGATCAGAGGGAAGCGTGTAACCGCCCGACTAATCAGGAGATGAGAGTCGCCACGTTGGACGGATTTGTACGGGCAACCACGGGCGAACATGCAGGTGAACAGGATGACGATCCCATCCCACGACCAGGAGAAGTACCGGAAGAACAGCAAGAAGCACATGAGGAGACCGAGGAAGAGAACAAGGTAGACATCAACATGATCAAGGCTCCCAATTTTGAGAGATGCGTCTACCTTTTGTGCCGCACGATCAGGCAAGCAGGAAGGGCACCAGCGGTTTGGCATCAGGCACAGTGTTGCCGACTCCCCAAGCACAATGACAAGCTGAACACTGCGGGGGAGAGACCTATCATGATATTTTGTGGACTTGGCAGAGCTTACTACCGATCGATGATGAAACACAATGCCACATTTCCGTATTGGGCGCATGGTGGAATTGCTCATAGAAGAAGGGAGGATGCGATGTTGGTACAAATGTGTGGATCTGCCAGGCTTCGAAGGGCGGGATTGAACCACATCACACGATTTCATGATGCCAGTAATGCGTTCTACTGTATTCACAAAGAGCATGCTGAAGAGGCGGCAGATGAGCTAGCCATCTCAGATCGAGTGGATTTATTCTATCAAAGAATTCAGAACAGCACTTTCATGATTGACGACGGAGTTTACAGTGGGCATCTGGCCAATCAGAGTGGGGTGCTACCAGGAGATCACGCGGCTACAAAGTTGTTTGTGAAGGCTCATGGAGCAGGAATACAGAAGCTAATTGACACCATGGACACGGACCCTTGGCAGAGAGCGCTGCACATGCAACTTCCTGCTCCACTCCGAGGGCCACGCGACGAGAGAGTCACGGACCTGAGCACCTCGGTCTTCGTGGACGACGTGGCCCGCAAGATCGTGGGCGCCAACGCGGAGCACCTGTCCGCTGTGGCGCAGTGGGAGAACGAAGTGGTTGACAGACTTCTGCATGAGATCGGAGGAGTGCAAAATAAGGAAAAACAAACCAACATCGTCCAGGGAGCAGGCCGACAATCAGGAATATTAAATCGTCTGTTTCACGAACATCGGGTTCCCCTCCAAGGGCATGTTCTCTCAGAGGCGAGGTATCTTGGGGGCAGACAACATTGCAACAACGGGTTCTCGGCCGAGAAAAAGTACAGAATGCAGGCCCTCAAGACGGCCTGGCACAAAATGGGTAAGTTCTGGTCTACTCCAAAAATCTCGATGAGGTTCAAGGGCATTGTTTTCACGGGGTTGGTCCTGAACGCGGCGCTCTCGGGATTAGAAGCGTTCGTCCTCAACATGCGGAGCCCGATCACCGAGCGGTCCCTGGAGCCCCTGCAGCAGTTAGTCTACAAATACGCGAGGGTCGTGCTTCGAGGAAAATACACCTCCAGAAATCGAGATCGAGTTCGAGCCCCTTCTAATCAAGAAGTTCGAAGACATCTCAAAATAGGAACCCTCTTCACCGAGTTGAGAATCAGGCGTCTCAAGTGGCTGCAGGACATTGTGTGGAACCAGAAGGCACATGAGCAGGTGATCGCAGCGCTGGTAGGTAGAGCTTTTTGTGAAGATGTGCCCCTTGAATTCGACCCTCAAGGCAAGGTGCTCCCAACGGCCAACCCCTGGCTGAAGCAGTTCTGGCAGGACGTTCTGGCGCTCGAGGGAACCGCCAGGGGCCCAGAGCTCCTAGAGGAGCTAGAGGGAAACTTTTTAGGTTTGTTCCTAGGAGAAGGAAGAGAGATTTTCAGAGCAATTGATGTTGCTGAATTGAGGTCTATCGAACTTGCAAGGACGGTTCCCCCCCCTGTGTGCCTGGGCGGGATCGGGGGTACTGCGACCCCCCCTCTTCAGGAAGAGCAGGGCGATACACCTCAATTGCCCGTCCAATGCCCAGTTTGCGAGGAAGTGTTTCCTGATCAGAAGAGCATGGTCACGCATTGTGTGAGAATTTGCGCGAGAGGGCGAGAGGACACAGAAAAGATCCTGAGGCAGACTTGTGCCACGGACAGGATCCCTCATATCGCCACGCTGTCGAACTATTGCATTCTCTGCCAAAGTAACTTCTCGGATCGTGCCACCGCTCAGTGGCACCTTGCAGCATCAGTGAAGCATCAGAGATGTGTTGCAGATTTTTCGGTGAGAGCTCCGCAGAGGAAAGCCCACGCCGTCACGCAATGCCCGTTGTGCCTTTTTATTGCTCAGACTCCTGACCTTTTAGATCAGCATTTAGCGCACAATCACGTTTTGCCTTCTATTGAGAATCTTTCGATCACCATTGATGTCGCGGTGGGTATCGGCGGTCGAGGCAGTAGAGAAGAGCGTCAAGCCAGAGGAACAGCTGACCAAGAAGGCCAAGGGCGGCGGCAAGAGTGGAGGAACCCAGGACACCAAGCTACTACTGCAACTGGAAGCTCGCATGAGAGAGAGAGAAGCGTCAGACGACCATTTCAAAGGCCCGACGGGCCACCCTGTTTTTTTGGCCATCAAGGAAGCTACCACCAAGTACGAGAAGCTCGTCAAGGAGGCGGGCGCAGGACACGAGTTCGGGTCACCTCACCTACACGCAGCGGGAGCCATGATCGCCACAGTCGCCAGCACGTCCACAGAGGGCAAAAACGAGGAAATTCAATGCATATTCGCAGCAGTCAAACGGCTCGAAGAATTCAGAGAGACGGGCAGCCCGTCAGACCTCGAAGACTGGTGCGTCACATGCAGATCAAGCGAGCTCCAAAGCAAACAAGGAGTTCAACCCACATCACGTCTTTCATTCAATTTCGAGGGACACTGGCCCGTGGCAAAGAACCTCACAGAGGAACAGCAGATCGCGGCGCAGAAGGGCAAGCATCATCCACAGGAGCTCGACACAGGGGGCAACTTCACACTGGTCAGGGTGAATCGCCTGATCGGACTGTGCCTACGAGCGAGTGGCCTCCAGAAGATGCCAGGGAAGGCACCGATTGGGGGGCTTGCATACGGCATCAGAGGGAAGCAGTGAGCCAGAGGAGAAGAGAACATGTACCTGAAGGAGTAGGTAGGGACAGTAGAGCAGGTCAGGAGCAATTTTTTTCAGAGAGAGGCCTAGAGCCCAGGCAGCAGCCCCCCAACAGCCTCCAGGGATCGACTCCTCCTCCTCGGTCGGGCTCGGAGCCTCCCTCCCTCGCCTACCTTCGCTCGCTCAGTCGTCGACCCTGGGAGGATAGGTTGGAGGAGCTCAGACTGCGAATCCAGCGAAGAGAGAACTCTCGCAACCAAGTTTAGTAAGCGCCCCCGCGCCTAGACGCCACTGCTAGCGCTGCGCGCGCAATGGCAGCGGCGTCTGGCCTAGCGCTCCCACACTATTTAAGGCCCCCTGGAGTGCAAACACCAGGCTCTGCGGTACCCCTAGAGTAGCTCTTTTGAGGAGTGAATGGATATCGATGCAGATGAGTCAGTCAGTCTCCTCCTCCTCCTCCTCCTCCTCCTCCTCTGTCTAGCTCTGTGAACGTGATTGCCTGTCCAACAGTCTCGGCCGCTGCGCGGCAGGATGAAGAGAAGAGCTCACATGTGTGCTGTGCTCTGTCCGTTGCCGTGCTGGCCCAAGCTTTTCAGAGAGCGGCGACCGCATGCTTCAAAGCTTTGTCACCCAGTCAGGCTTCCTCGCGGCAGGGCAATTTGCGGTTGACTGGGCTCGGCACCTCGCCAGCGTGGTGGCGGAGGCGGGCCAGCTGGCGGTGGCGGCGGGCCAGTTCGGGGGCACACGCACGCTCCTCCTGCTGGTCCTCTGCATAGGCACACTAGTGGGCTGCTGCTGCTGCTCGGTGTGCGCACTGGCGGGCAGCGTGGCCTGGCATGGCGCTGGCGCTGCGGGCTGGAGCTCGCGTTCTGGTGCAGTGGCGGGCGCAGGAGGACTACCAGGTACGTCTTCTCCTGCGTCCCTCCGACGCCGCCGAGTACGAGCGCGAGCTTGGGACTCCTCCGACGAGTCCGACGAGTCCAGTGTGGATGGCGGCCACTCCCGACGAGGACATCTATCCGCACGAGCTCGAGGTTCCGCCCTTGCACGCGCTGGTCCCGTGCGATCGGATGGGCCAGCAGCGATGGCGCGACCGAGTCGGAGGATCGGGCCGCCTGGTGGCCCGCCCGACGTACGGCGACCACTGGCTTCCTCCGCCCCTCGTGTTCACGGAGCTTCTCGAGTCCTGCGGCGCGGCGGCGCCGGAGGCGGAGGAGGCGTCAGCGCTGGCGCCGAGGCCCGAGGACCTGACGGCGCTGGGTGGGACAGCGACTCCTTCTGAGGGCCTCGAGCGAGGCTCGGGGAGGCTGCCCGCAGTTGGCAACCAACGCTGGCTCGTCATGGCTAGCGAGGACGACAGCGACGTGAATGTGCTCGCCGACTTCGAGAGCTGCGAGTGGTACGCTATGAGCGGAGGACTGGCCCTCGCCAAGGCGGGGGGGAAGTGTTACTTTGTGAAGGCGGTGACGGAGAAGGAGGCCGAGAGCTCGATGGACGCCCGCGTGATGCCGATCCTGTACGGGCTCGACGGCGAGAGGAGGCGGGTGTTCAAGGACGCGGTGCGCGGCATGACAGAGACGGCATGGCCGGGATGGCCAGTCAAGGGGCCGCGCACCGCGCTGTGGTGCGTCCGCTTCCTCGCGGAGCAGGACTCGCACAGGCGCGCCCGCCACTCCAAGTGGCGCGCGGAGTGCGGCCTCGGGCCTGGCGACGTCGGCGTGTCGGACCACGAGCTGGCGATGCGGGCGCTGGAGCTTGGCGCGGGCTTCGACCAGCTCAACCTGACCGAGCTGTTGCTGGTGGAGCTCCTGGTGCGCCGCGCCCAGCTCGCGGAGTGGCGCCGCCGGGAGCGGCTGCTGAAGGGCAGCGGCGACGAGTACCTGGAGGATGAGTACCTGTACATGGGGACCTCGGAGACGAGGGGCTTGCTGATGGTGTGCCCGACGCTCGTGGGGCACATCCAGGCGGAACTTCACAAGGAGGCAACGCTCATGAAGGAGAAGCGGAAGCTTCGCGAGGAGAGGATGCTGTCGCGCGGCCACGGCTCGGGCAGCGGCGGCAACAAGGTGCTGCAGGACAAGGTGGCGGCGCAGGCGGCGGAGATCAGCAAACTCCAGGCGAAGCTGAAAGGCCCCCAGACCGGCAAGCCAGATGCCGGCGGGGCCGGGGGCCGATAGCTCATGGTGGTCGCTCGGGAGCTGCTGCCCTGCCCTGTGCCCGCTCCCGGCCGTGGCTGGAACAGCGGGGGGTGCCGGGCTGTGCGCTCTCGAGCTCGGCAGCGGCAGCACGCTGCGCGGTGGCTCTCAGAGGCTGTGCACGCTACCAGTTCATTGTACGGACATTGAGCTCCACGTCAGGATCTCCAAGCTTCGTGCGCCCAGCTCGCGGGCGTTGACCACGTCCGCGAGATCGTCCAGGAGGCGGGGCCTTCAGCTTTTTCAGGGGCGGCAGCTCACGCCGAGCTGTGCTCTCACTTGCCGGGGTATGCAGAAGACACCGTGCGCCGAGCCTCCTACTCCGAGGGGCTGGTCTCCCTGCCGACCATGGGCGGCCAGTGCGCTGGCGCCGACTGCTTGACTGGTCGTGCTCTTGAGCTGTGGGTAGGATGGCAAAAGCATCTTCTACGCGAAGGAGGGCCGCCTGACGGACCTCGACTTCGACCTTTCTCCGATCCGAAATTAGTGCATTGCAAGAAGACGTACGCTCGCTTCATTGGGGAGCTGCTCGTCAGGGGCCTGATCGACCTCGGCGAGCGGACCGAAGCTACGGTGGGCATCTTCTTTGTTTTCAAGAGCGACAAGCGGTCCCTCCGCATGATTGCGGACACGCGGGTGGCGAACGTGCGGTTTCGACCTCCCGCGCACTCGGAGCTCCCGACTGCGGGGGCTTGGAGCAGCTTGGCCGCGCCGGAGGGGAAGTCCCTCCACTTGGCCCAGATGGACGTGGACAACGCGTTCTACAGGGTCGCCACGCCGCCCGGGCTTCGCGACCACTTCGTGCTTCCCGCGGTCGACCTCGACGTGCTGCGGGCCGAGCGGCCCGACTTGTCCGCCCAGCTGCCGGCTTGGCGGAAGGCGTCGCCGCGGCTGGCCGTCTTAGCCATGGGCTGGAACTGGAGTTTCTTTTTCTGCCGGCAGATGGTGGAGACGCAGGTCCTCCGCAGCGGGCTGGCGTGGGAGCGGCTGGCTCGCGACCGGCATCCCGCCCCTTCGCTCGAGGAGGGGCCCGCCGCGGCAGTCTACGTCGACGGGGCCGCCGTCGTCGGCCTCGACTGCGCGGAGACCATGGAGACGGCGCAGCGGGCGCGGGATTCGCTGGAGGCCGTTGGCCTGAGATGCAAGGGGCTCGAGGGCCCGTGCGCGGAGGCCGCCTTCACGGGCCTGGTTCGACGAGGCGAGGGGCCGCGTCGGGCTCAGCCGCCGGCGCATGTGGCGCATCCGCCTGAGCTTGCTGCGCGTCGCTGACCGCGGGTCGGCCACTGGCGACGGGGTGCGGGTGCTTCTCGGCCACTTCACGTGGGGCGCGCTGGTGCGGCGCGAGCTGCTGTCGATCTTCTCAGCGACCTACCGCTTCGCGTCCTGGGATGGCGGGCGGCGGCGCCGCTTGTGGAGCGCCGCGGAGGCCGAGCTCCGCATCGCCGCCGCGCTCGTGGTGTTCAGCTACGTGGACTGCCGCCGCCAGCCCGACCCCGTGGCGCTGGCGACCGACGCCTGCGGGGCGACGGACGCCGACGCGGGAGGGTTCGGCGTGGTGAGCCGCGCTTGGGACCCACATGACGTCGGCCGGGCGTGCTCGCAGGCAGAGCGGTGGCGCTACCGCGTGTCAGAGGCGGTGGCAGCTCGGGCGCGCGCCCTCGGGCTTTCGGAGCGCCTGCGCGCTGCCGATTGCCTGCCGCTGCCCGTGGGGGCCGAAAAAAATCCGAGTGCATGCAGCCAGGGGTCTTGCGGTTTGGCCAAGTCTACACCTCTTGCGAGGACCCGGCGCCCCGTCTCGGACTTCGAGCGGACGTTCGGGGACATGTGCTCTGGGACCGTCTCGTTCGAGCAGATCACCTCGGAACACGTCGGACCCCTCGAGTCGTGGCAGCTTCGGGTCAAGGGCAGGTTCAGCATAGCCGAGAGCATCATCCGCCTTGAAGGGCATGGGGTCGTGATCGGCATTCGTCATCATCTTCGGGTGGCCTCTCGTCGTGGGCGCAAGCTGCTCGTGCTGTGCGACAACTTGGGCCTCGTGCTGGCCCTGGGGAAGGGCCGGGCGGCCGCTCCCCGCGTGAACAAGGCATGCCGCAAGGCTGCCGCGCTAAGCATCTTCGGGGACACGTCGGTTACCGTTCGGTGGATCCCCTCGGAGCTCAACCCAGCGGATCGGCCCTCTCGCATGGCTGGCGCCTTGGCTCGAGATCCGCGGGCGGACCCTCGCAGCGCTTGCTTCGACCCCGCAGCGGCGCCACAGGGCGATGCGCAGACTGCGCTGGCCGCGGCGGTGGACGAGGCGCTCCTGTGCGGCGAGCTCGACGGGCTGGGGCGGCCGCGGGTGGGCGTGGCAGGTCTGGGGGGCGCCCTCCTGGGCGACCCGCTACCCGGCGGCGCGGCGCGCCTGCGTGCTGAAGCGGCAGCCGGCGGCGACGCGCTGGGCGGGCAGCCCAGCACCCGGGGGCTCGCAGCCTGGGGGGGCGGGCCGGCTCCAGAGGACGAGAGCAGTTCGAGTTCAGACGCGGGCTCCGACGGTAGCGAGGCCGACGATCCCCACGACCCCAAGAGCGGCGGGCCGGCGCTTGATGCGGGTGCCCTTGCCAGCGCTGGGCGAGCAGCAGACGGCGCCGCAGGCAAGGGTGGCCGAGCGGATCAGCCGCCGGGCGACCCGCCGCCGCTCTGCGGCGGCGCTCGCGGCGCCCCCCAGGCTGCCCGGCAGCAGCCGCTCGCTGAGCTTCTTGGGGAGCAGGCGCGTGACGGACAAGAGCCGCGACGCGCTGGGCCGCGAGGTGGGGGCGTTCAGGGCGTGGTGCCTGGAGCAGCGCAAGGGCGTGAGCTCGAGGGCGGCGCTCAACGAGACGCTCGTGGAGTACCTGGACTGCCTCTACTTCGACGGCTACAACCACGAGAGGGGCGACGCGCTGTTGTCGGGCCTGGCGTTGGAGGAGCCGAGGTTCAGGCGCGGCGGCGAGGAGGACCTGGCGCGGGCACGCGCTGCCCTCCAGGGCTTCCGCCGCCTGGCGCCTGGGCAGGCCAGGATGCCGCTGCCGCGGCCCGAGTTTGCTGCGCTGCTGGGAGCCGGAGTCGTCGCGCTGGGTGTGGACTTCGGGATCAGCCTGGCGATCGCGTGGGATGGAGGGCTGCGGCTGCCGAGCGACATCATGAGCCGGCAGGGCCGGTCGCTCATCCCGCCCCCGCCAGGCTCCGGAGTTCAGAACTGGGGCCTGCTGTTGCACCCCGCCGAGGCCGACGGCCGGAGCAAGGCGGGGCACAAGGACGAGGGGCTGCTGCTCGACGGGGTCTTCGCGAGGGGCATCGAGTCCCAGCTCTGGCGGCTGAAGAGGGCGGCAGGGGACGCCGGCAGCTTGCGGGCGTTCACGGCCGCGGAGTTCAGGGCGGGCTTCAAGCGAGCGGCCGCCATGATCGGCCGGCCGGCCCTGCGCCCGTGCCAGGTGAGGCGCGGGGCAGCGAGCGACGACGCGCTGTGCCAGAGGCGGTCGTTGGCCGAGATCCAGGAGCGCTTGCGGCACGCGCGCCCCGAGAGCACGCTGAGGTACAAGAAACACACTCGGTACCTCGCGGAGCTCGGGAAGGTGCCCCCGCGCGTGAGAGCGTGCGGGGAGGCGGTGGAGGCGCAAGCCGCAGCGCTCCTGAGCGGCCGCGTGGCGCTGCTGCCGCCGTGCGACTTAGCCGCAACGGGGCGCTGCGCTGGGCGCCTGCTGCGGCTGGGCGACGCGCTTGTGCGGAGCAGGCCGCTGACAGCAGCCGCAATCCGAGCAAGACTGAGCGAAGCGCTGCGCCAGGAGCTGGGCGACCGAGCCTCGTGTTATCTTGATCTTTTTTCAGGCGCAGGCGGCGTTGCCCGCGCCATCAGGCGTTTGCACGGTGTATGCCTTGAGATGGATCTCAAGCACTCAGACTTTTTCGATCTGTCTTCGAAGGTGGTCGGACAGACCATCGTGGGATGGATCGCCAGCCGCCATGTGCTCGCTGTCGCTGCCGCTTTCCCTTGCTCAACCTGGTCGCAGGCCTCGCACAATTATTATCGCAATCCCAGTAATGTATATGGCCACTTTCATCTCGAGGGTGAACCGTTGCAGCGCTTGATGGTAGGAAACGCAACCCTTGTTGTCACCCAGATGGTCATCCGCGCGTGCATGCATCATGGTGCGCCTATCGTGTGTGAGAACCCACTCAGTAGCTACGCCTGGCAGGAACCAGTTATGCGTCAGCTCTCTGCACACCCTCGCTGCCGCGACGCCATCTTTATATGTGCCAATTCGGGGCTGCGTGGAGAAAGCCAACTAGACTGCGATCCTGGAATTGTGTAGTTCCCCCCTCGCAACTGTGCGCCCGCTGTCAGAGTGCGCGTGGCGCACGCTCCGCAACAGGCCGACCACGCCTCATTTTGCAAGGGCCTGGCCCGAAAGGCGTGCGGCGAAGCCGCATCGCAGAAGAGTGTCCCCGCAGGTTGTGCCATCAGATTGCCCGCTGGCTCGTCTTGAGCGTCGAAAAGCTTCGAGAGCTGCGCCTACGGCGCCCGGCAGATTGTTGAAGCATGCGGCCTCCAGGGCGCAGTATGGGATCGGGCGGAGCGTGGCTCCTCTGGTCGCTTGCAAGCTGGAAGCCGCTCAGTCATGCAAGCTTCATTCTGGCCTAAGCAAAAAAAGGACCGGCAAATCTAGCTCTGTGAACGTGATTGCCTGTCCAACAGTCTCGGCCGCTGCACGGCAGGATGCAGAGAAGAGCTCACATGTGTGCTGTGCTCTGTCCGTTGCCGTGCTGGCCCAAGCCTTTCACCTCCCTTTCCCCTCCTGCCTCCCTCTTCTGTATAGTCTTCCTTGCAACTAATTCTCACAAGAAAGGGCGGAGCGTGGCTCCTCTGGTCGCTTGCAAGCTGGAAGCCGCTCAGTCATACAAACTTCATTCTGGCCTAAGCAAAAAAAGGACCGGCACTCCTCCTCCTCCTCCTCCTCCTCCTCCTCCTCCTCTGCCCTCGCCTCCATCCGCGCCCCCCTCGCCACCCCAACACGTGGTGCTAGCCCGAAGCGCAGGGCCACGGGGGCGCTCGTCTTGCAGGAGGGGGCACCTCGCATTGAAGAAGGAGCCCTTGCAGGGGCCTGCGAGGAGAGGGAGTCAGGGGGGGGCGCAGTGCAGCATCGTGGACGCATCTTGGGCTTACCATGGTCCTCCTCCTCGCCCTCCTCCTGGTCCTCCTCCTCCTTCTCGTCTTTGTCCTCCTCCTCCTCCTCCTCCGCAATGCGGGGGCTCGCGACACCGAGAGGGCTTTCTTATCACACACCCCACCCACTGACCATGGCCGGAAGCGCGGAGACCTGGTCCCTTTCCTCGTCCTCGTCCTCGTCCTCGTCCTCGTCCTCGTCCTCGTCCTATTCCTCTTCCCTCACCTCCTCTTCCTCCTCCTTTTCCTCGTCCTCTTCCCCCTCCTCCTCCTCCTCCTCCTCCTCCTCCTCCTCCTCCTTCTCCTCATCCTCTTTCCCCTGCTCGTCCTCGTCCTCGCCCTTCGCCTCCTCTCCGGTCTCCCTCTTGTCCTCTTCCTCCTCCCCTTCCTCTTCATCTTCCTCGTCCTCTGACCACTGACCACTGCGCAACCAGATCGACCAACGGCCCTGCCTGGCAGAGAGAAAGGGAGCTCCCGCCTGCGCCAGGTTGTCGAAGGGCCCTTCTTGAGGCACTCAAGCAACCTCGCCGATGGGTGGTGGTGGGAGTGGGACCTGCAGCAGTAGGGAGGGGCCACGGGTTCGAGATTGTCTGCCCCGAGCATCCTGGGATGGCCCCTTTCCACAGCCTCTTGAGGTCTTCGCGTGAGGCGGCTGAGGGTCCACACGGGCCTCTGAGGCTTGTGGCCGAGGAGGGGCAGGAAACGCCCTGGCCCTCAAGGGCCGATCGAGGACCCCGTAGAGGTCCTTGAGCGGGGGCCAGTGCACGAGCATTTGGAGCATATTCAGAGAGGTTATGAGCGTCAGCAAAAGCCTTCGCATCATTAACGCACATATTGTTAGTATTCGCAGTTAAGTTCGCTGCGTGGTGATCCCAAACGTTGCCTCAAATGTGGCACAATTCTTGGGCGTCCCCAGCTGCAGACTCATTCCCGTAGGTTTCGACCTGAACAACCAACATGAGTGGGGCGGCCAGCAATCCGCCCGCGCCCAGCGTACGGCGTAGAGTGGGCTTTGACTCGATCAAAACTTCCAGCACCCCGAACAACAGCCTGACAGTCCCAGTCGAGGACCGTTCTCAGGGACGCAACAATTCAGGGAACGGGCTCTGCATCAGGCTTAGGGGGCATGATGAGTTTTTTTAAACATGCAGGCAGCATGATGTTCTGCTGCCGCAGCTGTCTGGCGCACTACGTCTGGCACGGGCCCCGAAATCCTTTGGACGAGCTGCCCCTCAGGAGAGACTTCCACGACGGCCCATCCCGCTCTGGCCGCTCCAGGAATCGCCCCATCATGACAACTTCCGTCACTGTGGTGACGGCCTGTCCTGCTGAATTGGAACTGCGGAACTTGGCCCTGGGCATCAAAAAGCTGACCACGGGCTCCTCCATGGGCTTGCTTGTGACAGAAGGGGATGCCCATGGTGGAGCGCCATGGCTCGAATCTCCTCATCTTGACCCTCGCGTGCCACTTCTAGCCAGGGACATTCCTAAGGACGATGGAACACAGAGTCTGGCTTCTGACAGTGAGGGCACACCCCTCTGGTGTCATATCCCCCCTCCTCGTCCTCGCCCTGCTGCTGCTGCTGCTCCTCCTCCTCCTCCTCCTCCTTCTGTTCCTTCTCACCCTCCTCTTCCTCCTCCTCGTCCTCCCCCCCTCCTCGACCCCCTCCTTCTCCTCCTCCTCCTCCTCCTCCTCCTCCTCCTCCTCCTCCTCCTCCTCCTCTTCGTCATCCTCTCCCTCCCCATCTCCTCCTCCTCCTCCTCCCTCCTCGTCTCCCTCCTCGTCTCCCTCCTCCTCCTCCTCCTCCTCTCCTCCTCCTCCTCCTCTCCTCCTCCTCCTCCTCTCCTCCTCCTCCTCCTCCTCCTCCCCTCCTCCCTCCTCCTCCCCCTCCTCCCCCACCCTCGGCGCCCGGCCTACCTCCCGCCCCTGGCCGATCCGCCGAGACACAGGCGCCGGCGTGGGCCCGCGGCCGGCGCGGGAGCGGGAGGCGGGCGGCGCGCGGTGCGTTGCGGAGCGGGGACGACGACGTCGCCGACGATTGCGACGACGACGACGACGACGACGACGACGACGACGGCGACGGGGACGACGACGACGACGACGACGACGACGACGACGGCGACGACGACGGCGATGACGGTGACGACAACGACGACGACGACGACGACGACCATGACGACGACGGCGACGACGACGACGATGGCGATGACGGTGACGACGACGACGCCGCTGCCGCCGCCGCCGACGACGACCACCACCACCACCACCACCACCACCATCACCACCACCACCACCGCCACTGCCACCGCCACCGCCACCGCCACCGCCACAGCCACCGCCACCGCCACCGCCACCGCCACTGCCACCGCCACCGCCATCGCCACTGCCACCGCCACCGCCACCGCCACCGCCACCGCCACCACCACCACCCCTTCTGCTGCCATGGCGGCAGCTTCCCCGACCCAGATGTCATCGGAGCGCCTCCCTGCTTCTCCTCCCTCGGGGGGAGGGGGAGGTGGAGGGAGGGGATGGGGGTGAGGGGAGGGGGGGGTGGATGCGGAGGAGGGGGGGATCATGTGTAGGGGGAGGAGGAGGAGGAGGAGGAGGAGGAGGAGGAGGAGGAGGAGGAGGAGGAGGAGGAGGAGGAGGAGGAGGAGGAGGAGGAGGAGGAGGAGGAGGAGGAGGAGGAGGAGGAGCAGGAGCAGGAGCAGGAGCAGGAGCAGGAGCAGGAGCAGGAGCAGGAGCAGGAGGAGCAGGAGGAGCAGGAGGAGGAGGAGGACCAGTGTAACCCCAAGAGTCATCAACGATGTTGGAATCAACCCTCCCTCCAAGCTTCCGCTTCATAGGCCCCTACAACGGTTCATTACCACTGAGGGAAGTGCTTCGTGGGAAGGCAACCGTTGGAAGATCCTGAAGCATGCCAAAACATTGTCTTTTGTATTCCAATGCCACAGATCAACTTGACCAGTGCTTCGTGACGATACTGAGTCAGTCGTGCCAGAACGCCATTCCTGGGGCTTCAAAACCGCGAATCAATGCAACTGATGCACCCTCATAATCCAGATTTTTTCCAGAACGCCACTTCTGGTACGGTGATCAAGGGAATCCGTGAAACTTCTCTGGCACATCTAAAAGACGAATGTGCGCGGCGCTAAGGCGAGAGTCACATTTTGAAAACGGCACGCATCAAGGCACAAAAAACATGTGTCGCGCAGGGGAGAGACAGATCATTGCCCGCCGCCCGACAGACGCTGCGGAGCACCCCCTCGACGCACAGCCCGTCAGACAGCACACATCTGCAGCGCTCGGCGACCCGTGGGGAGCGAGACCGCACCGGAGCATCCTTCGCAGACAGATCGACGGCAACCGCATCAGCACACCTGGCGGCCCGAGGAGCGGGACCGCACCAGGCACTGGCGACCCGAGGAAGGGGCCCAGGCTGGCAACGCACCAGATCGTAAGCAGACCTGCGACCTCCGCCACCGCAGACCACGCAGATGCACCAAGCCGCAGGCCCTGGCGACTCGAGGAGCGGGACCACACCAAGGACCTGCGCCCCGAGGGACCACACCAGTTTGGCCTCCTCCTCCTCCTCGTCGTCGTCCTCGTCCTCGTCCTCGTCCTCCCCCTCCTCCTCCTCCCCCTGCTCCTCCTCCTCCTCCTCGATCAGCCATAACCGTCGAGCCCCGCGTGGGCGGTGGCGGCCACCAGCGGGAGGCAGTCTTCCTCCCCGCGGACGGGGTGACACGACCACTTGCGCCAGATGTCCCCTGCCGTCGCCGAACACCGAAGAAGCCCAATTCTGTCCTCCCGTCGGCTTCGCCGTCGTGCCAGCACTACCCGACCATGAACACCGCCCGGCTGTCTCTACCGCTGTCTCTGCATCGCCTTGTTCCATCGCAGGGGCTCGGAATCTGCCAGGCCCGATGCCAGACCCACCAGACCGTGCACACCGCCTGGCAGCCTCAGCACCTGGTCTAACCACGGGATCAACCAGCACATCGCCTCCGCCAAACTGCTCATGGAACCTGCGAATGCTCTGAAGTTGCGTGCGCTTCTGATTGGTACCAGGCGCCTGACGTTGATACACCAACTTGGGCTTGATTATTTTGCCACCGATATTTCACGAAAAGCCAGCACCGCATTGCCTGCCCGCGACAGAACATGCCCAAGCTCTCGAAGCTTACTGTCCACTGCAACTGCTTGAGCTCGTTCGCTTTGTGCAACCTCCGTTTCTGTCCCCAGCGCATATCACCGGCAGCCTCAAGCGCCACGTGAACCGCCCCCATGCGCCACCGCTTGTAGGTAGAGCCCTCAGGCGAGCAACAGAACGCATCCATACGATGCTGCTGCAACTCCGACGCCATACACTGACGCCTGACACTGCACCTCAGATTATTATGATGCGTTTGAGTGCAAGCCGTGACGCCGCAAGTGCAACACTTCCAACCTCATACCAAACCACATATGCAAGAACAAGAACTGTTCATCCAGCACCAGCCGGTCATAGTGTAATTTCTCCTAGGGGGTTCCTGGCCCTGCTGCTCCCGCAACTGTTTCTGAACTAACCTGGCGAGGGACCACTTTCGGTAACGCGCCATCATGCGAGCTTCGTTGAACACCTGCTTTACAAATTCCGAATGCCCACTAGCGATAGCCAAACTCTCAGCCCCCAGGTTGGCAAAGTAGTCAGCCAAGCTATTGCCCAGTACCCACATTTGTTTTAAGCCAGGAGGACCACGACCTTCGACCGCATCACGGAACTGGAGGTACGACGGGAACCGCTGAATCCGCGGAACCTCGGCCCCAAGCTTGTCCACCTGCGCACGTATACACCGCCAGATCCCAGCATGCATCGCTCCAGCACCTCCCTCATGGCTACTCCATCGGCACCCTTCTTTGACCAGCGGCTGCAAGTCTGAGATGATGGTGCCAACCTCGTTGAAGTGGCGAACTGCCTGCAGGATCGCAAACCTCTCCTCCATGCCAGTAGTTTGGTGACGGCCTGGCGAGCCACCATACGCAACGCGTATTGCTTAGCCGAGCGGCGACATCTCCACCACTGCCCAACCACAACTGCGCAGTTCTGGAAAGAAAGACGGCTTCCCCGACCCATCTGAGAACAGGATCCGCTTGCCATTGCAATCCATCTCGTCCCAACCCCCAAGAAACACGCAGGAAACTATTCGCCTGGAAGGTCCAGTATGGTAGGAAGTTGCGGCATCCCGACCGATAACTTAGACGACTCCAGCGCCACCGTGCTTTTGAGAATCATACCGTGCTTGATCACCCCTTCTCGAGAAATTTGACAACTTCCCCAGGCATCGGTTGCTCCTCGTCCTCCTCAATAGTACTCATCGCCACAGGACACGCAAGACAATAGTGACCGATGTACTCATGGGAAGTCGGGCAGCCTCTGCGCTCTGTGTCCGACACCCTGTCACGGTCAAACAGTCGGGTCTTGGGCCAGATCGAGCCAGACCATCGTGCCCTTAGCGCCTCAGCTGCAGACTGCGATTTGACCGTAGCCGCCTTGGCCCCCTACACATACACGCAAGCATCGAGCCACAACTGCGTAGCCTGCTACACAACCGGGTGATGCTCCAAGACTGTTTCCATTTGCCATCTCTGGATACTGTACACATCTTGAGCAACTCCTTCAGGAGCTTGGGCGGTTGGTTGACCGATGAGTGGCCTTGACCCACGCCACCCTTGACCACAGTCGAGGAAACTAGCTCCCATCCAACCCTGAGTAAGGATAAGTCGACCACCGCCAAGGGACCTCTTGCCCCTTGCCAGTCCACGGGTTTGCCGACTATGCTACGCCGCGCCCGCTCGATCTCGCCCGGGCACAGTGTCTGCTCCCAGATCACCCTGTGCAGCGCGAATAGCGGAGAGATCGTGGCATCAAGCACTGAATCACAGTAGGCGTCCTTCTGCGTGGCCATGTACAGCGTGATGCTTGCCCCCCCGCCCTGGCATAACCAGGCATACGCGCCGCTAAAGCAAGCACACTGCGCAACTCCGCGTCTGACGTTCCGCTGACCATAGCACCATGCCCAACTTATGGAAGTCGCAACGTACTCCATAGCGCCGTAATCTCTAGTCTGACCG